GAGTATGAAGAGCTCTGGTTTGGTGGTTTCATCCTTATCAGAGCCCAGTGTAAGCACTGCTCTATCCTTTAAAGCCTTGAAACTATGATTGCACTCAAGAGGACAGAACTCCCCACAACCACCTTGTCCCTCCTGACACTCTTCCCCCTCCATCCTTTACACCTCCCCCTGCAGCCAGCTGCTCTCAGACTCCTCAGTTCTCCTTCACCAGGGCCGACCAGACCTCAAAGGAATACCAAACACCGAGCAGGCACCAGAAACACACAACAGAGGTGACTGATTGAAATTCACAGTGTGAGCAATTCCAATCTTTTGCATGCTGTTTCTGGCCGCCCCGGCTCTACAGCTTGTTGTGGTGGGAGTGTGACGAGCAGATGTATCACCATGCAGCGATACCGCAGAGGTCTTCTCAGGGGTCCTCAGTAGTGGGCGAGCTCTGATTGTTTGGTAACAGTGTGTCGGTGGTGGGCGGGGCTTCCAGTGACTCACAGATGATCTATCAGAGCTCATCAGCGCTGAAGCATGGCTCAGGTGATATTTTTAGACTGCAAGTTTTCAAGGATTCCCTTCAACTCACCGATACTTCCACCCGTCAAAAGAATCCCATCAACAGTAGGAAGTTGCTGTCGGTTGAGTGTTTGGTAAAAGATTTCCAGTCAGGTCAATGAGCAGTGTTTGATATGCACATGTTTTAAACTAAATCTCTGACTTAAAGTGAACTGAATGATATATGATCAATTTTGCAGTCTGGCTTAAAAATCACAGCATTTGCCTGTAAGCATATTTTAGCATCACAATTGCTGCCCATCAAATACAAAGACACAACATGAGTCAATGCAAATGTTCATTGGAATGGTTTCTGATCAATCAGGATACAGTAATAATACCGATTGTCAACCACCTTGCATTCGTAGGACTTATAACCTGGGATACAGCAGCAGTATCCAATACAGGCGATTGAGCTCAGAACCCTGAGGGTAACGTAAAGAGGAAAATGGCTGCCGTCCGAATCTGATGAATTGTGTGAAATAAAATCTAGACGTTTCAAATAGGTGTATCAGTAGAGGATTAGTTCTTAGGCATCCATGTGGATTGGGAGCCAGCAGGGAGTTAGCAGCTCAGTTTGAGGGTCGCTAATCCTGATGCTCTACAGGGCCAAAAATGTGCACACAGCATGGCCTGGCGATGCAGTCGGGTGCCAAGCATGCAGGTTCTGGCAAGAAAAGGTCTGACTGACTGTCGGACTTCTGCTAGAATAAAATGTTGACATTTGGACGAGCACTGCAGTGGACATTTGAGAATAGGAAAGAGGACACTCCTGGTTCATTTCTTTATTACCTGATGATTTATTTCCGGGTTTCTTACGTTGTTTCAAGCTGATCTGTTCCTGCATTTGTCCTGTCAGTTTGCTGAATAGAGATTGTTGCTTTTTGAGTATTGCTTTACAGTTGACTTACGTGAAGTCAAGTCAAGTCAAGTCACATTTATTTATAAAGCACTTTTAAAAACAGCAGCAGCTGACCGAAGTGCTGTACAATGCATCAAAGAAACAGTTTACAGGGGATTACAACATATACAAAAAACACAAAATAAAATCTGATAGAATAAATAGGAGAGATAATGAAAGCAATAACTGGGATCTGAAAGAGCTGTCTATTCAGGACCAGAGGAAATATAAAAATAAGTCTTTAGAAGGGACTTAAAAGAGTCAGTAGAGGATGCAGACCTGATGGGAAGAGGGAGGCTGTTCCATAGTTTTGGGGCTTTAACTGAAAAAGCACAATCTCCTTTTTAGCTTGAGTCGTGAGCGGGGGACAGCCAGCGGGCCCATAGCTGACGATCTCAGGGGCCTAGATGAGGTGTACGGCCTGAGGAGGTCAGCGATGTATAGGGGGGCCAGGCCATTCAGGGCTTTAAAAACAAACAAAGCAATCTTAAAATCGATTCTGAATCGTATTGGGAGCCAGTGGAGGGACGCTAAGACAGGACTGATGTGCTCCCTCTTCTTGGGTCCAGTCAGCAGCCTTTCTGCAGCATTTTGGACCAGCTGCAGACGGGACAGGGACGACTGGCTTATTCCAGTACATAAAGAATTGCAGTAGTCAAGTCGAGAGGAAATGAACGCATGGATAACTGTCTGTAAGTCACTGAATGAGAGAATGGGTTTTAACTTTGAAATTGTACGAAGTTGAAAGAAGCTGGATTTGACTATTGCATTTACCTGTAGCACACCAAAGCCAAAAAAAGCAAATTTTAACAGCAGAAATTAAAATGTTTACAGCCTTTTATTAGGTATTAGGTCTGATTAGTTATCACCCTCATGGGCACACACTGAACTGGGGGTGGATATTTTTATAACACATCCATTTTGATTTTATTAACGGTACGTGTTATCCATAGTTAGGAGCGTAGCTGGCTTGATCGACAGGTGGGAGCGATGTAACGGTTTCTCAGCCTGTCGTTAGGTTGACTGAAAGTTAGGCTGAGACATCATTTCCAGCATGGTGACAAGCAAAGCCCCCTGCAGAAACAGGTGGATGACGTCACTCAGACTTCTTCCATTATTATTTACAGTCTATGATTAGAATTGAGGTGCCTATAACTTACAGGTTTCTGCCGCTATGGCTCGTCAACGAGGGCCGAGAGGTATACGAAGTAAATCCACTTTTTTTGACCAAGTATCTTCAACTGCAAAAATACCAAACTAAAGTCTTCAAAGAGGGGACTTTGAAACCGACAGGGGACATTAGGTGGCTCCATCATGCATACTTTTTATGAACGCAAATCATCCCTACACCCTTAATACTTTCCAAACAGTTTAAGAGCTTAACTTATTCCAGAGAGTCAAAGTCAACGTATGCCAGCTTCCCCTCTCACATTTTAACGAGTCACTACTTGACAAGGTTTTCTGTCATTGTTGAGGGCAGCTGTATAAATGAACACACCTGTTACTGAATGTTTGATGCATTAAAAAGGTGCTGCTCAACTGAAACTCTCCATATGTTTTAACAAGCAATTTGCTCATTCGCTGCATTTTCTCCGGATCCGTAATGCAGAGTGCCAGGCGTACAGTCTGCGCTCCGCTGTGTCATTTTTGGTGGGCAACATGATGGAGCATTAGCTGGCTGAGATTTCAAAATAATCCTTCACGTCTGTTGCGATGCAGCTAAACGATGACGCATCAGGCTGAGGTTTAGCACTTGTTAAATTTGTCTGTTGTATGCGTTTCTGTGAGTGTGTGTGTGTGTGTGTGTGTGTGTTCCCAAATGATGGTCGAGGCCGGTGTTTTAGCAGTTTGCTTATGTGCAGTAAATTAACATATTTGGCAAATCAATACTTCAGCATGTACAGTTCATACCCCAAGACAAGCAAGCCAATTAAAGGGAAATCTCATCCATTATTCACTTTACTTCTTTTAAGTAGTCCATTATTTGGCACATCATTTATTTATATTATCATACGAAATGATCTCAGGCATTTACAGATTTACTATCATCTCACAGCAGCAATGAAAAACAGCATTCTGGCTATTCAAAGCTTTAAATCCTGATTAGATTATAAGTGTAAAAACCTCTTCACATTGAAGACACTGTGTCTTGTCTGTTGTGACTTTGGCTGCGGAAACTGGCCACGTTCCAATTTAATTATTTCCTTACAGTAAAACTTTATTTCTCGTAGCCAAATTAACTTCCACTCGGCCTGCTTCCCTGACTCTTCAACTTGTCTTTAACCCTGCTCTGCACCGATATGACGGCTGCTGTTTTTTTTCAGGTATTTTTTTCTTCACTGTGACACTTTGATTTTTTTCAAAAAAAAGAAAGACAGAATTACTGTGACTTCCATCCCTCTGCGCACTGTGGTCGTTGTGGCCCCTCCTGCCAGCAGCTACGTAGATCAATATTCGAGAAGGGTATGCAGCAGCACTAGCAGCAGCATGGGTTGTGTTTGTGTAGCTATCTATCTCGGTGTGGCAGGCCGCTGTGGTGTCAAGTCTGGAGGATGGGAGCTGGCCTTTTGGGGAAAGCATGCTGCTGTAGGGGGGAAGATTGGAAGGCCGGGGTGACCTTACAGTGTAGATATGTAATACCTGGCTAAACCTGGACTTCTAGCAAATGTGCTGCAGAGTTATGAAAATGGCCGCACCTTCAGCCTTTCACCCCAGTGAAGATTCTGAGGAAAGAAATCATGAAGGAACAGAGAGGATTTGACAGTGTTAACCTGTATCACACAGCTGCTAATATTCTCCTTCACTCTACTTTGGTCAAATGTGATCTCTGCCATATAGGAGACAAGGAGAAGGTTTTGCGTTATAACGAACCGACAAGGAAGAGAAAGCACACAGATACTTAATGGACCAGGAGTGATTGGACACAGGTGTGACAAACAGGACTCAGGTGAAAGCGGTGAGGGCAATCAAAAAGGGAGGGAGTAAGACAGAAACCCTCAAGATAAAGTAGGGAAATGCACACAGGGAGGGAAAACACAAGGATACAAATGAGAAAATAAAACAGGAAGCACTAGATACATATACAACACAAGGCATGATTCAAAATAAAACCGGAAAAAAATTCTAAACACTAAAATTAACAAAAAAAAAGACGAGAACAAATTATGACATTTCAGTCCTTATCATTTATTGTCTTAATCTTTAAGCTTGGTTTGTACAGGTGTTAGGGTTAGGAAGCATTTGTCAATATTTACAATCAGCAAAACATCTAATGTAGACACTGGCAAACCGTTTCAATTCAGAGTTCTTTGGGGTTAAGGTATTATGTGTAAATATAAACAATAAGATATCTTGTAATAAATAGAGATTGCTTCAGTGTAGCAGCTCAACCCTTGTAAGAATATATTTGCATATTGGCAAATGTCTTTGAATTTTAAGTGTTTTCATAGTTCAGTAAATGATCTCTCTCTCTCTCTCTCTCTCTCTCTCTCTCTCTCTCTCTCTCTCTCTCTCTCGCACTCCGTCTGTCTGTCTTCCAATCTTCTCTCCCCAGACACTCCATGCAACAGCAAACCAACAAAGTCATCACCAGCACAAGCCAGCTCATCAAGCAGCTCTCTGATATAATCAGTGGCTCTTCACGGGTATTTGATGCTCCCCTTTCCTCCCTCATTCACCGGCCTTCTCTAGAATAAACAGTGGATTAGACAACATTTGAGCTAATTAAAGCTTATCTTGATTTGTTGCACAGCAAGACCGTCTGCGCCTGACCAGACTAAAGACTGAACTCTCCGAGTCCGTGCAGCGCTATGGAGATCTGCAGAAGGTATCTACATTCACACCATCTCCATTATTTTTTATCAATATGGCAATTAAATGTGTTCATTCTTTGGGAGAAAGTGGAAAATATCTGATGCATATGAATGCAAAATGGAAAAAAAAGACAGTCTGACCTCTTTTAATAAGGAATACAAAGACTCCTCTTGACCCGCTCTCTTCATTTGCTCCTCTTTCAGAAAATTGCAGAGCGCTCGAGGGCCCTGCTCCCTCCAGCACAGAAAGACAAGAGGAAGGTGAGCTGATACGGAGGATGAGAAGCCGTCCTTTGTTTCACTGTCATTCATAAAAGAGCAGGATGATGAGATGGCATTTTCTCTGCTTGATTGCCCCCTCACAAGGGCTCCTTTGAAGCTCTGTCTAGTGTCTTCCACTCTCTTATGTTCCAGCGGAGTCCATCCATCATATATAACTCATATGCACTGCTGAAATGTCATTGAACAAAAAAAAAAGAAAAATCTGAATCTAAAGAGGTTACTGTCAAGAGTTTGTTTTCACAGTGAAGCTGTGTGAAAGCTGGAATCTGAAACTAGGTTGAAAAAAAGTGAAAGTCAATCCAAACACAGACTAACTTTTGATTGCTTAAACATGATAATATAATTTCAAACATATTGATCTGGTTTTGTTGATTTGTTGATTGCTGCACCAGAGTTAATATCCTGCAACAAATGGAAGTCAGTGTGTGTCCTTAAATGGAGTGGATGCACAGATTCTATGAAAAGTCAGGCAGAGTGGCTTACTTGATGTAAGTGTGAAGGACCAATTTAGGAGAATTTCAGTGGCAGTCGAAATTTTCAGGAGTGCAAGCAGCTTCTATTACATACAGGTCCTGTACACGTGTTAATATTAATGGTTGAAGCCTGAGTGACATCAGTGATCTATTTCGGCAGGAATCTCATCAGCCAGCCTCAAGCGGACCATTGATGAACTGCAGAGTTTTGCACTTCTGCATTGGCTTCTTTTATGCCAGTCTGAAGATGCCCCTTTGCCCTGAGCCTTCAACAGTGTTGACTGATCTGAAGTCAGTTGCTTCCAGCGCTGTAGAAAATGTATTGGCCTTAGTTTCGTCCAAAGGTGTGTGGTGATTTTGCACACTCCAAAGTGCTCCGCTGGATTTGCTAATGGGGTTGCTCACTGGTATCAGTCCGATTAGCTGCACCTGTATGCATGGATCGTAGATTGGAGCTTCAACTGGAAGTTCTTTGGTGATATTTTAATTCTTTTTGACACAAGGTGCATGTTCCTTTTGGCTTGTTAACTTAACTATGGGGGACCATTTAAAACTGCACAGGTGTCATTTTGTCCCATCACTACAGCAGTAGGTATACTCTACTTGTGACAAAGTGACAAAATAGCACTTGATTAATTCGATTTAAAATAATGTGTTAACATCGGACCTTCATCAAATTGCGATTAACAGGTTAATCCTGAATACCCTAGATTTTTTTTGGCACATGGCTTTAATGTTCATACCTTCAGTTAAAAAATTGGAATCCAAATAACACACCTTCGATTTAAAGATAGCATATTTTAAACCAGCAAAATGAACTAATAGAGAACGGTTTACAACTACTTTAAATAAACCTCTTACAAAGGGGAGAGTCAGATATATCAGAGTTTTATGTCCCTCTGAAGGCATATTGTTGGGACTCTTATACTGACAGTGTTGGAGGTAAAGGGCTATGGGGGCGGTGGCGGGATGGAACATTATATAGCCCTGATTTCTCTCAATGCATAGATGCAAGTGGACTTAGCAGTGATTCCATTGTGGCAGGACAAAAATACTAAAATCAAGTCATTGGCAGTAGGAATAGATAGTCTGTGTTTTCTGCACAAGATGTAATGGGAGCTTTTATCACTTTGTTATATAGCTATGGATGGGAGGCGTTGGAACGTTTAGAACGCCATACATATGCATTAAGACAAACACTTTGGAGATCAATGCAAATGCTATTGACTGCTTTCCACCCACATCCTTAAATTCACATCATCAACTGGAATCGACAGCAGCAAACTTTTTTTTTTTGCAGTGAGTGAACTTCTGCAATAAGGTGCCAGAATGATTGTCTTGAGAGGTTTCCTATAAGTGTGATGTTCTAATGTATTCCAGTTTGAACATATGTGGAGGAGTGAGCACGATGTTGCAGAGTTTGCTGAGGAGGGGTGAGTCAGATCATGGGCAGTACGCAGAGCGCTGTGACTCACTTTAAGTTGGTCTCGGTGCTCTGACCCACACTGGGCCCTTCTACCAGGAATTAGCTGTGCAATCAGCCACACAAACTTGGAACATATTAGCAATGCAAAAAAGTAAACCAGGCATTTCTCGTGACTACGCTTCCTCCCTTTCCTGTGCATCCGTTTGCTGGTTCTGTGTGTGCATCTGCAGAGTGTACATGGATTTGATGGATTAACAGCCTCAGTCTGAGACACCAACTTCAACCCTCCGCACTAAGCTAACAGTCTCTGTTAAAATATAAGTGACAGGGTGGACCAAAGTGGACAGGCCACTTAATTAATAAGGTTATTTTTGATTTAGTGAATAAAATCCATTTGGTTTGATCGTTCTATTTTTTCCAAAATAAGCATAGAACTGAAATACAATGATCAATGTTGCTCTGGTAACCACAACTACGTCTTACCTCAAAGGGATTTGAGGAAAGGAACTTGTTGAACAACATTGATTTCCTTCATAGAAGAAAAATGGCTTTTAGAAATATCGATCTGTTGACCTGGAGGTTTTGGTGAAAGATTTAAGAGGCTTGTTTGAAATTAAACTCTAATTAAACTCTTGTTTGAAATTAAACTCTAATTCTGGAAGGAAGGGAAATCAAGTGCACAATCTTTCTTATCAGATGAATTTATCACTAACCGTCGTAAACAAATATAGACTGAATCTGTAGGCCAGGGACCAGAGGTTTGGTGTAGTAAACCTACTGATTTTGGTTGTCTGAAAAGTATTGAATATTAAACCTTGATCAGGCTTTGGATGAATACGGGGGAAAAGCTAGTTGAATGGCAATATAGGAGAACTATGCAAACCTCAAATCAACCAGCCATCATCTGCCTTTATTTGTATATATATGTTTGAACAATTTGAAGGAAGGAAGGAAGGAAGGAAGGATGGATGGATAGATGGATGGATGGATGGATGGATGGATGGATGGGTGGGTGGGTGACGGATGGATGGACAGATGAATGGATGGATGGATGGATGAATGGATGGATGGATGGGTTGGTGGGTGGATGGAGAACAGACGGACGGACGGATGGACAGACAGATGGATGGATGGATTTATGGGTGGGTGGGCGGATGGATGATGGACGGACGGATGGATGGATGGATGGATGGATTTGGGTACATAAGTACAATCATTTCCCAGGTAACATCTCCTACTCTATTCTGTATACTGGTGTTAAGGTTGGCAGCTCTTTTAGATTTAGTCTAAGTCTTTGGACACAAATGCAAATTTTTTTACCCTCTTTAGTTTTAGTTCAGTTTTAGTTGACGACAACTCAAAACATTGTTGTCCATTTTCTCTCTTCAACATGTATAAGCCTAACACAGGTATCTGAAATGTTTAAATCTGTAAAGCACGCTCTTAACACTTTTACTTGAGTCATATCTAGAGTCTTTACCTTAAATGGATGATCTATCCTAGACTCCCACACTGATGCAAAGCTGCTGTGCTGTCCTTGATGATCTGATATGCTAAGATAAGAGAGTCCATCACACACATATGGAATGGCAATATAATGCATTGTTCCTGACTCCAAGTAAAGAAAAAGAAAACATTCTTTCTTGGACAACGTGAAGGTTTGAATACAGGCTGGCTTTGATTGACATAAGTCATTTTAAATATAGACCAAAAATTGCTATTAAGGTCCATTTCCAATTGCATCTAAACTTCAGGCGTTTACTGCTTACTACTATCACTGTGCCACTATTGTTTCTCCTCCTATCCCCACAGGGACTGCTACAGTGATGCCTTTACTTTCATTACTGTCGTTCCAAAATCTGCTCCTGCTGTTATGTTTGTGTTACTCCTGCTCATTAAAGTTTTTGCACATATGGCTGCTAGGCTGTTTAGGTCTTTCCACACAGGGAGCGGTTGCTGCTGCCACCTCAGAGTTTTTAGTGTCGACTGACCACTGAGGGAGAGAGAGAGAGAGAGTTGCTATCAGTCTCTTCCATTCCAACCATGGAAACCAAATCCAGGACAATGATGGAGCGATTGATTTATCGATGACAAGTTATTCAACTGTTTTTTTGGGGCAATAAAACAATGTTTGTGATCAAAGTTAGCTTACTGAGCTATGTCTTACATCTTAACCATATCGTATCTCATGCTTCAAAACTGCTGTACTGTAGTTATTTGACGATGAGATGACAGAGGTTGGACAGCAGCAGTCCAAACTGTATAATAGAAGGAACTAAAATCCAGCCTGGGCAGATTTTTTTTCTGCTACTTAATGAAATGATGGAACATCAATGTAGCTGGACATCGTACAAAGGAGTAACCACTCACTGTCAGAAAGTTCCTTTACTGCTACTGAATTTCTTTCTTGATTATCTCATCTAACCTTAACGATTGATTTGTGTGTGTGTGTGTGTGTGTGTTTGCACCTACAGAGTCCTCAGACCCCGCTCACCGAGCAGATTGACGAGGGGCCGCTGTTTGAAGAAGCGCTAAGCTCAGAGGGAGGTGTGGAGGCTTTCCTGTCAGAGATCAGTGAGGAGGATGTGGAGGAGCTCCGTCAAAGGGAGGAGGCCCTGCTGCAGATTGAAGTAAGAACACAATCTGACATTTCTTATGACAATTGAAAAACTGTCAAAATTTGTTCAGTAAAACCCTAACAACTGTAATGTCATTGCGGAGCTAATGAGTGGCTTCAGTGGAGCAGCTGGAGATCAGAAGCCTTGCTTACAAATACAGAACTCTGTCAAAGTTTTGACAGTGATGTTGCCACAGTTTGTATAGATTGTGCCTGATGCCTCACATTGTACAAACCAAGGATGTGGGATTATGCGAACAGAACAGTTCAGAGCCTCTTCTTATACATTTAGGCAGCCATCTTTACTCCTTTTCTCCTTTTACTCTTTTTCAGCAATATTCTCAGAGGTGGCGACTGGTCAATAGAGGGCGCTGTAGTGTTGTCTGGAAGTCGTTTAATGCTTACCGCTTCTTTCACCAGAGTTATTCAGAAGTTAGCATCTGAGATTCATCTGACATTGCACTTAAATATGAGCCAAAGAGAGGTCTTCAAACACCTTTTTAAAACGTAAACAAGTTTGGTGGGATCCTATTTGGAAGAATAGCAAGGATAAGTAGAGCTGTGCATTTTCACTGGTCTCAGTTTTCTATATTACTGCACATGGCTACTTTTTGATGAACGAAGACAAGCAGTCATAGAAACATGAACTCCTTTTGTATAAATTGGAAAGAGCTTTAGACATCACTTCATTGTGTTCAATATGTCCTCTCCCTGCATCGATGCATCGATCGTCCATGTCTGCATCGATGTATCGATTGAACAATTCATTTCAACACCCAAAAAGGTTATTGATGATTTCAATTGGAACTTCAAAGCAAAGTTTGTTAAATCTCGAGCTGGGCAAGTTATATATGACTCTTTACTTCTGCTGTTATTAAGAGAATATCTTCAGCAGGAACTAATCGGCTTTTGCTTTGGTGCAAAGAGAGTCAAGAAGTCACAAAGTATTACAAGTCGGTTGAACACTTGCTGATTTCTGTCTTCTAATTTATGAAACCTCTGACCCCTTAACTCCTCTGCACTGTCCTTAAATTAAAGTCAGATCCCACAGAAATGGAGTGGTTTGGACTGCTACCAGAAAAAACAAAAAAAACTTTTTTTTGCTGTTAATAATCTAATTTTCTGAGTTGCATTTACCATAAAATGTTGTCCCTCTGCAGATACATTTCCCACATGCATGCCCCAGCAGCCAAGAAAAAATGCCACTTGTGGTTCTCTTTCCCCACTCATGTATTCCCAGCCAGCAAACAAAATCCAATCCACCAACCTTGTGATCATAAACCTGTTTGCCAATATTCTCTCAGGGCTAAATTTACTTAGCTGATTGCAACTTGTCTCCAATATTTCTGTGTGCGTAAATAATTCTGTTCTTTAGTCTTGTATACACAACGAAAACAAAACATCCCTGGCCATTTACCTTTAAACCAACCAGGTATCTGAGGTGGAAAACACCTGAATTTCAAACACTCCAAATGGAAAAAAAACAAACAGAAAAAAAAAAAACCTACTTATTTGTTCTTTGCCTCCTAGGAGACCAACACACGCCAAGTTAGTAACTAGAAACTCAGTCAGACTCGCACTTTGGAAAGCTTATTAGTATTTTGTCACAGTACCCCCATGCTGCTGCAGGATATTGAATGCTACCCAATTACTAAGGTGCTTATACAGACTTGTTTGTTCCTTTACCTAGGTAAAGTGTGTGTGGAATCATAATGCTCCCACACTTAACATTTCCAACCCACACTAAAGGCGACGTCGTTCTCCCTAACAAGTGTCAAGTACTTTCTGAATAATGTCTTAGTACTTTGTTTCCCTTCACTTCATTTTGGCAGCTGTTTTGGAATTTAGTCTTGGTCCTATGCTGGCCTTATATCAAACGACATCTCAAGCGATTTCAAAGTCGATGACAAATTACCAAAGTTGAAATAAAATCCTGAAAGTTTTGCTAGAGTTGGAGCGCTCCCATGTTCTTGACCGTTGTGTGTGTAAAGCCTGGCTCACAGTACAGAGTGAGCACATAAATCACATGGTCTGGTTGGGCGTCGTAAACGATTCAGTCGTACAGTGCGAGCTGACATGCTACCTCGACTTTTATACAATCGGGGGGGAAATCGCACAGTGTGAGCCAGGCTTAAGGTGGTCATAAAACTTAATCTGAACTTTTTGTTTAATCATGTCATCACAGGTCTTAAAGGCTTCATTCAATTTTTCACACATAAATATAATAGAAATCAAGTATATCCTCTGAAAATAACTCTGTGAGTCATGACTGTCTACAATGGGTGTAACACCCGAGTCCCACTGTCTGTGATGTTTTCAGAGTTTTCAGAGTCCTATCTTCAGTTTGTTTACATCGCCAGGACGGTCGGCTGACTCCTCCCCTCGTGTATAAAAGTTGTTTAATTGAGGGACTAGAGAAAAGAAGAATAACATACTGTACTCACTGCTTAACTGTGTTTCTAGATCACGCTCATTTCAGGTAAATTTACATGCAGTGTGAAGATATGAGCATAATAAAGATCGCTAGCATTAGCATGCTAACACAACAATGCAGCGCGAGTTGTTTTGGTTTCATGCTGGTGCTCAAGGGCGACATCTGCTGGATCAAAAAATCACATATAAAGCCTTTAAGTCTTGTTTTATGCAAATTGTGTTGTACAATGACGTGACCATTGTCAACAACCAATAGGAGCGGCCTCGCCAGCATCGAACAGCAAGCTGAAACTTATTTGTGGAAGCATTATGATTCTTGATGTTCTTTTATAAAATTTAGCTGGGAACCCAAGCCAGAGCTGAAGCACTCTGCCAGGGACTAAGTCCCTAAATAACCGTCCAGGTCAGGACGGAAAAAAAAAAAAAAAAAAAACTGGAGCCATGTTGGATGCATTGCAAGTGCTGCATCTTCCACTTGGTACTCAGTGCCCTGCAATTCTCGGTGCCTTGAAAGTGAACTATGCTCACATGCTCGAGCATGAGTTTTAAATTGAGCCATTCAGTTTTCTGTTTCACCAAAAGTACGAGCACATTCAATGAAATTACTCTTTTGCTGTCACAACACTTCCAACATTCCTTATGATGGGTGGAGTTGAACATGCTGCTCTGGTTTGTGCTAAATCTCATAATTACTTTATTAAAGGACATAATGTAAAACGTCATCATCCGTCTTTATATATATATATATATATATATATATAAATATAATATTTTGACATAAACTTCATTTATTTGCTCAAGTAAATAAACATAAACACACGCAGGCTGCATGAGCCGCTCAGGTAGAGAGTCAGATCACAAGCATTGTGAACATATAACATAAATCACATTCACAACAATCAAAAGTTTTAACCATAAAATTCAAAGCAACATATAAGACAACTTTCCAACACAACACACCTTACAATCAAACAGGATTGTATACTTGACTGAACTTTACATTGCAGCAAAACGTTGTCATTTTCTGACGTTTCAGATGAGCAGGTAGGAATGGTATGCTCTTACAAGGCACAATTTAAATACAAAAAGTCCAAAAAGCAACATCGACATGATTTCCTTATCATTATTTCACGGAACAATCATCTTTATGTATATAGACGATCTTTGGCTGATCAAGTGACCGCACAGAGCTCTCCTGGGCTCAATGATGACAAAGTCGCCTGTTAGCTGAATAGCAAATCTGACTAACTGACAGAAGACACAGCACAGCAGAAAGTAGGACTAACTTTTGTTCAGTTAACATTATTTGACTTGTGAGTGGTGGCACTGGAGCCCTAGCAGTAGCGTACCTCCTGTTGGGAAGATATTTTTATTATTTTGCCCAACCAACAACTTAAAACTGTTGGTTGGGCTTTCTTTTTCTGTCGTGCTGGCTTCATACATACACATACATAAAGAGAGAGGAGGGAGGGACGCACAGGTCTGAGGTGGGCAAAACCAAATCTCAGAGTGGGAGGGGGCGCAGACAAACGTCACTATTTTTGACTGCTAAATTGAGAAAATCTACCACATTGTCGTGTTTATAATACTAAACATTCATTATCAATAATTATGATATCATATTGGGTGGGTTGTGGTGGCTGGTTTGCAACCCACCCATCCCCCCCCATAAATTACGCCTATGTCCGTCTCACAAGCATATGGCAGAATGAGAGCAGATAGAAAGAGGCCTGACACATGGGGACACAGCCTGCTCTTAAAGATGACAATCCTCTATATATATACAATATGTGGCAGTCCAGCTTTTGGACTGCAGTTATCCATCCAGCGGTTTGAAGACTAATGATAATGTTTGAGCAGCACTTTGCGGCATAATGAAGATGTATCGCCTTGCCCAGTTGGAGCTGTCTGAACTTCATCAACGCTTCAAATCAGCTAATCCCACTGCAGGAGCCACGCTGAACGAAGCGAAAGGAGGAAGAGCATCAATCTCTTCCTGCAGAGTGACACAGTGAAAGAGCCGCAGAGCGGATGACAGCTTCATTTCAGCGCAACCGTCGAGACGAGCCAGGCAGAGGATTGGTGTTCAGATAGGGCCGTCTGGCCGGCACTTTAGTCATAGCATCATGGATGAGTGTCATAGTCAGCACTCCGGCAGGTGCTGAGGGGCTTGACGTTGCTCCCATTGGGAAGAGTGATAGTATCTGACAATGTGCTTTCTCACCTCCATGCCACCCTCCCGGCACAATCCCTTCATAGCACGATGTCAGCAGTGTTTATGTGTGTCCCAAAACACTCACATTTCTCCACTGCGCTCCTCCCAAAGGACCAAGGCAGTCTAGATCCCGTCATCGTTATCAGCTCTGCTCCCTCCAGGTTGAATGTGGTGTGGAGGTTAATTTAGCCCTCCTTAGAGACTGGACATGAGTGATCTCTACTCTACAAAACACTTCCTGGCTTCAGCTAGTGTGTGACAAGTCATGATGTAAATAATGCTCGCCTCTCTAGAAAATTCAAATCCTTTTCACACTCATATTTCCGCCCACTTTTTCCGCGGCTCTGGTTCCCGGAAGTCAAATT